CCAGGAGCAGATGATGAGTTTTTGTTGCAGCAAAGCCTCAAAGATGCCGAGAAGGGATTTTGTGGTTTGCCCATGACTGCAGAGGATCTGCAACGTTGTCTAGGTGCGGAACCCTACCGGTTAATCCCTCGATGCGTCATCACACAATCCTCGGGGAAGCAACGAGTGATTGACGACGCCTACGTTGGCTTACAGTCTGAGCGTTCCAGTGATGCGAACAAGCTCACCCTTTGCTCAGCGCTGCGGCCGGCCCAACACTTGCAGTATGCCTACGCCTTTGGGAGTTCACCCAATTGGGAGGCAGAAGAATGGGAGTCTGGAGGTGAGGATTGGCCGGATGCCTATCGTTTTTGCCCTATGAGTTGGGATGAGGCTTTGTGCTGCATTGTGGTCTTTTTCCATCATGAATGGCAACAACCAGCGTTTATGATTTACACTGGTTTGCTCTTCGGTCTTCCTCTTGCGGTCACATCTTTCAATCGATACAGTCGTTTTGTAGAGGCTTTATCACGTCGATTTGCCTTCTGTTTGACTAGTCTGTATTTTGACGATGCTCACTTGACAGACCGCAAATCTTGCAGAGGATCAGGTCAGAGAGCCATGCAGACCCTCAACATTCTGTTGGGTACTCCATTTTCCGAGGAGAAATGTCAGAAGATGCAGAATACCGGCACCTTCCTGGGCCTGGACCACGATTTTAGTCAAGTTCATTTGAAGGGTCTGGTTCAGTTTTGGGCCCGTGAACGCATTGAGACCAAGTTGCTCCACCTCATGCAGACCGCCGAGGACTCAGGCAAGCTGCAACCAGGGGTGGCAGCCAAGCTCTACGGTATCGCCAACTTCTTTGAGCTTGGCGTGTGGGGGCGTATTGGCTGCGGTGGCTTAGCCCCCATCAAGCGCAGACAGCAGGAGCGCTCCTCAGAGTTGACTGAGGAGTTGCGCCAGAGCTTTGGCCTACTGCGCACTGTCATCACCACTCGCCCCTCTCGCCACATTGAGATCTGGCCACATGTAGGGCTCCGCTTCCTTGCTGCTTCGGATGCTGCGTTGGAGAGCCCAGGTCAGGGTACAGGGGGCTTCTTAGTGGTGTGGCATGACGATCACCGGCAACATCGAGAGGCATTTGTTTCTCTCATTCCCCCATTGGTGTACAGCCTATGGGAGCCCGGTGACAAGAAGATTGCCCAGCTTGAGCTGCTGCAGGTGCTCTACGCTTTGTTTTCTCGGCCGTCCAGGTTTCGAGGCAGACGCGGTCTCTGGTTCATCGACAACACAGCAGCGTTGATGGCATTGATTCGAGGTCGTTCTGACAATGCAGATTTAGAGCATATGTCACGGTTGATTCATATTACCCTTTTTGGTCTTAAGGCTTGGTTTTTCTGGGAGTGGATCCCTAGTAAGGCCAACTGGTCTGATGAGATCAGCCGTGAAGGCCTCCAGGCAACATGGCACAAAGGCCATGGGTTCACCACGCATTTCGCATTTTTCCCCTTCGAGATTTGGTCTCTACCACTTCCCGCGTTTCTCCGGGTTGTGGAGTTTCTCTGAGTGCTTTGGGATTAAGTGCATTGGGAGAGATTCAACCTGTGTAGCCTCCTGAGTTTACAGGAGCGCGGAACAGGGTGTACGGATCCAACCAGTGCTGCTGTGCAGGAGACTACCTGCACAGCGTTCCAAAGCACTATCCTGCGAGGAGCAGGTTGAGACCGCACGAAGAGTTTGGGAAGAAAAAGCCATGCGGATGTGAGCCTGGATAGAGTGAACCGTTTTGAGTATCTATGCTTTACATCTCACAACTAATGTATGTATGCATCGTGTTTGGCAGGCACTGGGTGTGCATTATCATTAGGGTGAGTATGTAAGCTGATGAATCCATTTTGGCTCAAGTCTGAGCCAAACTGGCTTCATCGTTCTTTCTTTTCCCTCCCTTCCCTCCCTATGAGGTAGGACTCCGGTGGAGTATCCTCCCTTGTAGGGGATCACATCATTGAGGATGCTGATCTCTACGTGGAGTTCCACGACTGTAGCACTGGGCGGGAGAGATTCAACCTGTGTAGCCTCCTGAGTTTACAGGAGCGCGGAACAGGGTGTACGGATCCAACCAGTGCTGCTGTGCAGGAGACTACCTGCACAGCGTTCCAAAGCACTATCCTGCGAGGAGCAGGTTGAGACCGCACGAAGAGTTTGGGAAGAAAAAACCATGCGGATGTGAGCCTGGATAGAGTGAACCGTTTTGAGTATATATGCTTTACATCTCACAACTAATGTATATATATATATATATATGTACACACAGCCAGCAAACAGATATCATATATTCTTATAGATATATCCCAAACATGACGAACGTTTTCTGCAGATCTCCCAAGATTTTCAGCAGAGGCAATTCTGGAGCATCATCGCCGCATCGAACTGCTGTTGCAACGCCATAGGGCTCCGATGGACTCAGAGGCCTCGGCAGTTGGTGCGGTCACCAATAGATCCCCTAAAGAGGGGTTCGACATGGTTCAACAATTCCCATGAAATGGTCAAAAAATGGTCAAAAACATCTGGGTCGATATGGGTTTAACAGATGTTTGGCCAATCATTCCCATGAAATGGTGAAAAAAACACCAAAACCACTTGGGTCAATATAGGATGAAAAACCATGTGGGTCAATATGGGATGGTTTAACAGATGGCAGTGAATGATTCCCACTTTTCATGGCAGGAGCTGCAACGAATCTGCAATGTCGCACTGATGGGTTGTGACCTGAGAGTTGTCACTGTCGGGGTAGGTCCCCCAGATGGCCATTTGGCCATATTGGATTTGGAATAAACATGGCCATTTAAATGACGATGATTGAGCCATTGGGAATTGGGTGCCCCATTTTCAGACACTTTGTGCCCCGATTTCCAAACAACTTCTGGTGTAAAGCATTCCTCCAATGTCAGCTGGGACTTCTCAAGAGGCACTGCATATCGATGGGCTTGCGGAGCACAGCTCGCGAGCATCATGGAGGATTCTCAGTTCCAGGAGACGACAAACAGGACATGATGACTATTGGCAGGCAAATGATTGATAAGTTTTATAGTTAGCATTATGGTGATTTGATGACAATAATACTAATTTTGAATTATCACAAGAACTGTATTGTTCATCTATGAATGTTGAAAAAAACATATGGTTATTTTATGAATCTATTGATTTGAATAATGGTTTCAAACAATACTCTCATCCCAAAGATATGGTGGCTTCCTAAAATGGTCCCCAAGTTATGATCCAAGCTATCGGTCATTGTGTTCACAGGGAAACCATGGTGATTTCGGTGATATATCGGTGCATCTCCGCATTGCCCTGCACGAAGTCCTCTCACAACGTTCTGGATGGGATGTCAATATTGTTGAATGATTTTGCCGGACCCATTCATGGGATGTCATGGGATTCAAATCCCATAATTCTGGACATTAAACCCCAATAAATCCCACATAGTTTTTGGGGCCGGGGGACCAAAAAACTGCCCAGGAGGGAGCGATCGTTCGTGCCATCGTTCGGGCCGAAGAACTCTTGAGGAAACTTCAGGCCATGGGGCTGCAGTGTGGATTCCTCCATTTTTTAGTGACCATTTGCTACTTGAATTTGAATGGTGTATTATTATGTTTTTTTGATCCGGGGGTGACATGCGCAAGATCAGTTTCGTCAGTTTCCCCTTTGCGGCCGAAGCAGAATTTGTCTCTGATCTTTGCCTGCTTTGGTAAATGGTTCGCTTGACTATGTCATGGATGGTCGCAGCTTGAGATTATCAGATTATCTTTAGGGGAGTGCTAGTCCAAGCTGTTTGTGGGTTTGGGTCAAGGAGGCAAAACCTGGTAGTACCCGTACTTGCCAAGCACTTCTCTTTCTGCAGGACGTAGCAAAGATGTTGGGCAACGACAGCCTTGAAAAAGTGGCTGGACAGACACACTTTGGAATGCTTGCCATCCAGGAGACATGATGTTCAGCCGGATGTTTTGTGTTGCAGGTGGACGTGCTGAGCAAGAGACCCAAACTTTTCTCAACTTCCCTAAACTTCTATAGTTTGCACAGATTGCCAGGGATGACCATGCTTTGAGAAGATAAACAGAGGACCTAAGGAAACACAGGGCCAAAAAGCTGACGTGTTTTTCATAGTGTGTTTTTCAATCTTCTCCCTTCAACAACTTGCTTGGTTGCCATGACCAGACGTTTTTGCATTGACCTGGCAAAAACCGCCATCACTTGCACTGCCACCAAGGTGTTCTCAGAGGCTGCGGAATTGATCCACAGAGACATTGCCTTTGTGCCTTCCTTGTACATTAAGTAGAGCGGCGAACTTCGCAGAACCCACGTATTGCAGCAGTTTGCGGCTGCGAAGACGATCCACAAATCATCCTAAATTGCAAGATTGAACTTTTGTTGGCAAACCTATTTGGGGGATACAATCATATAAGGATTTGCTAAAAGCGGCTGAAAACTTGACTGCAAGAAAATCTTGGCTTTCACCCTTGCTTTACTCTGAAGGCTGAACGGTTCGGACCTGTTCGAACGGCGGGAGAAGAAAAGAAAACCATGGAAAAGACTTCAAATCATGCACCATCATGCACCTATGGACCTATTCCCTGAGGTGACCTGGATGACTCTGTGATCCAGAATCATAGTTTCCGAGAACTGTTTGCGTATGCATTGGCCCCACCCTCTGCTAAGGATTTCTAGGCAGCCACACTTTCTGCTTGCCGCAGTGTGTAAGTGACATGTGCTGATGCTATGACCCACTGAACTCCGACGTTGATGTTTTGCTGAGAGTTGCGATGAAAGGACCAGAATTCCGAGACAGCCACTTTTTCACCAACAGAGTCTAGAGATCAAAATCACACTGGTTCTTTTTCAATGGTGCGGGAAGGGGCACCAAACAGATAGAAGAATGAAAGCAGATTAAGGATTAGCTTAGTAAGAGGTTCCAAAGTATGCAAAGTTTAGAGCCATTGTCGCCTGGCAGTTTTGGCTTGATCAGAGCTCCCGACGATAGCTCGCCCCCTGGTGGTGGCGTGCCGCCACGCCATGCGCTTTGCGGCTGCCCGCTGGGCAAGGCAACTGCGAACTGCTGGGGAGGTCTCAACAGGGAATTCAATTCGACATATCATATTTATATTTGGCTTGAGAGAGAGAGAGAGAGATGTGTACATGTGAGAGGTTGAACACGTGCTCTCTCTCCTTGGCTCCCCGTCTTCAATTTTTTGGTCTTCCTCTACCATCATGAGTTCATGGCATGGATGAAGACCGCTACGATTGGCCTTTTGCCAGATGCCGCAATGCGCACTTGTCGTCCTGGTCGCGGAATCTTAATGCAGCTTGGAGCACGAGCAGCTACTACTTGTGAATGGGATGGGTGCCTGCTCACGCTGTCATGCCTCGAGGGCCATAAGAATATTCACTTGCCTAATACGCTGGAGGATAAGTCTTTGCAAAACAAATGACATGTCAGTTGAAGTCAATTGCAAGACCACTTAGCCAGCTTAACACGGTGGCTAAGATGAGTGGTATTTTTTGTCACTTCCAGACATTTGGATGAACCTGTTGACCCTACTGGCGTCTGGTTTCAGCATGCTGAAAGGTGCAACTCATTTTTTTCTCCAGCAATGTTTGCCATCGTTTGCCTTTATATGTAATATATTATATATATAGATAATGTTTGCAAGACTTTGCTCCAGACTCTCAACATGATGAAGTATTTTAAAGTACCGTGTCTCATTCTGAAGCATGAGCACCCAGCTGTTTTTGAGGCTGACCTCCGCTTCTACCGCCAGAAACCGAGCAGTGTTAGAACATGTTAGAACTAGCAGCCTGCACATACTTGTAGGAAAAGAACATTGACAGTGATCATGACTTGTTGCTGGCATCCTGCTCGGGCTGGATTCCTTGCAACGGAAGCAACTCAAATGCTTTTGCATGTCTATCTTGTTGTTGTCAAAGAGCGGAACAGTGACAGTAAGTGACTTTCTGATAGCATGCACTCAAAGTCCAGGGCAGAACCATGGATTGTTGCACAACATATTGTTATCATTCCACTACCATTCCATTTGTTATCCTCTGGTGATCAAACTCGGCAATGGAAATCCCCATTTACAGGTGGTTTTCCCCCAACTACTCCAGTGTTAGAGGATTTTTGATTGCCATGTTTGATTATACTATATATATATATTATAGCGGTTAAACATGGTCAAACTAATGGTTAAACGCTTAAACCATGGATTATTTCAACCATGGGTCGCCAAAATGGGTCACCTAAGGGGGTGTTGCAGCGGCCCCGATGCTGCGCCTGGCAGCAGAGCCGATGCCAATTACTGGTTTCGTGGAGCAGCGCAACTGTGGCTCCTCCCTGATCAGCAGCCTTTGCGCCTCCGGCGAGGAGCCGAACCCCCCAAAAAAAAGAAAGTACCGAAAGAATCAGAAAGGTTGGCGATGTTGGATGGGAGCATGGAGTTGGTGTGAAATGTTGAGTTCACACGTGGGATAAAGGCCTAAAGCTATTGGTAAAGCTGCAATTTCAGCAGGAGTTGGACGCCTTGGATGGTGGTGTTGCAGCATCCCAGGCCGGTAGCTTGCGACACATGCCAGCACCGGTCAAAATCGATCTATTGGTTGGGATAGTTAGGACAGTTGGGATGAGAACCATCAGACCATCGCTTTCAGGCCATCGCAGCAATTCTGGAGGGGGCCTGGTAGCCTGGAGAGCTTGATCCGCGGAAAGCTGACCACCTTCCACACCGAAAAGACCCCAGTTGGGGGTTAAATAGGTAATGTATGGTACTGTTAGGTCTAGTGGCCCTAGTGTTGGACCCTTAGATTTCTATGGCATGACTGAGGTTGCAAAACTTGACGGCACTGTTAGCAGCCGCTTCGCAGAAATGTTAGATACATCCGTCTGCACCTTGGACCGCTGAATGTCTTGATATGTTGTTGATGACTTGTTGACCACAGGCATTCGGTCATCAAGATGACATCCCCCTCAAAAGTATTCAAAAGTTGTTTGATCACGTCCTTGATGAACACCCGTATAATTTAGAGGACTCCAAGATTTCACATGCGTACCAGGTACTAATCTACAAATGCAGCAGCGGCTTGCTTGGAACTCAGCCGATTCTGCAGAGCGTTTCCCGAGAAAAACCATGGCGCAACTCGAACCAATGCTCATCAAATTCAGATGAAACGGCTAAAAGTGGGATCAGATGGGATCAGACTGAGACAAGTTCTGAGCACTCAGGTCACACAACATAATAGGACCATTTCAACCAGTCTGAGTTCGGATCATCTCCAGGCACAGTCATCATGAGTGGATGGGAGTGGATGGGTGGTTGGCATCTATACCACCAGATTGGTGGGATGAACATCTATTTACCAACTACAGGCAGTTTGGTGTGAAAACGACAGTACCGGGTATGTTTTTTCGTTTTTGTGCTATTTTGGTTGAAGATTCCAGGACAAGTTCAGACGCTCCATACAGGATTCCTGAGCATGCGGTCTCAGTACATCTAGGGCCGTCACTGGCGTGCACTCTTTCCTACTTGGACTTCTTGGATTTCCATCAGAGTAGTGGCAGAAAGACATGGAATGACTCGGAATGACTCGGAATGACCTTGAAGATCAGAAGCCATACGTCCTGAATAGTCCTGAGATGTCCTGAGCCTTTTTTTATGCAGGCGTGGTGGCGAGCCAAATCTTGGCTTGCCGCGCCGTGAGCGATGAATCTGTGGATATAGTGATGATGCGTGCCACAAAATAGCAATCGGATCGCAATGCAACCACAAGGACAGCTCATGACAGCTCCAGATAAGATGAATGATCAGTCCATCTCACCAAATAAAACAGCATGGAACAGCCAGGTAGCTGAGACAAGTAGAAAGTAGCTGAGACATGCTGAGACGTGAGACCTAAAGGCTGAATGCATGGCGAGCTGCAAGACGGGCAGCTGCGCATGCAAGTCTATCTATTGAAGGAAAATTGTGGTAAGTTAGCAGGAATATGTCTTGAGTCTATTAGTGTCCGACAAGAACCTCAAGAAACAAAACAACAATCAATAGATTGTCGGGTTTCTTCATGGTACCCAGCGCAGCTTCCCGAATGCAAGTGTTTTCCTGGCTGGCAAGGAAGGAAAGCACTACGTTTGCAGATTGTGCATATCACAGTATCTTCCAGTTGTGGCCGGGCTATTGATGAGCGCTGACCGGGCTTTCTTTGTGACAAGTTGTATTGTATACAGCCGTCCAACAAAGCTATCAATTTTCGTGTGATGCTTTGGACACCCCTGGACCATGCAAAAAAAGCTGTGCGCTATCGATCGTCTCAGAGTGGCTACAAAGCTGAAACCCAATTTGCCGTGGTACGACGTATTTTTGCGAACACTAGCTTTCGCATTTACCCTTGAAATCATTGTCGAGGCTTTGCAAATAGTGGTGATACTTCTCTGCTACTGTTACCCTATCTTTGGCTGCACATATCTGACCTCTTGCCAAGTCTTTGTCTTGATAATCTTGTAGCTTGAAAACGAGTTGAGTGGTGCTGAATGCCTGCAGCCGCTGATCACAATGGGCAAGTCTGATGCTTCGTCGCCAAATGTATTATTCGATGCATCGGTTTATGATATTTTGATATATTTTGATATATTTTGGACGATTTATTGTGCACATCATTTTTCTGGAGTGAACCACATGTCCCTGCCCATAGCAAATACATGCATTTCCTGCAGCCCAATACACTCCTGCACAAACAGATTGCAAACTCGAGTGCATGGTCCCATATGGTCCCATTATGTCTCATTCAATATTCTGTTTTTCTGATGTTTTCTGTTCTAAGCCCATGACAGACACATCTCTCTAGCTCTACGAATCAATTGAGACTTGATTGAGATGGAAGGTCCAGAGGCGGGTTTCCGTATTATTTGCTTTGCGGTGATGAACTCAGGCGCTGCACAGATGCACATGCACATGATAAATCATAATCAACTATAGAGGGAGAAGCTAAAATCAAATTGCTCTTCTTGCAAGAACGACTGCACTCGCACAAACAGTTTCAATCCAGACACAGCCTTGATCTCCCTGCCTCCTCTGTGTAAGCGTGGGTTCTGTTTTTTGGCTCAGCTGCCCGCCTGCATGAAGATCGGAGACCTTGGCATGCACACAGTCCGGCCGAAGACGACGAAGATCAGTGATGCCCCATGGTGGCTGCCTCCACCCAGAGCCCGTCCAAAATGTGCGTCCAGGCGCACAGTCACTGTGGTTCCGTTTTCCGGAGTGCAGTGGCTGAGACGCAAGGACACCGCCCGAGCTATGAAGATGCATATGCCATCACTTCAGAAGAAAAGACAGTCTACTTTTGGATCTTTGATGGGCATCGCGGTGACTGTGCCAGCCGCTTTGCTGCAGAACTCTTCGGATCTCCTGAATTCAGCCCGACCAAAGACAAGCTTCCATCCAACCGCCGCATTCGCCGAGCCTTTCAAACCGTTGACAACCGGCTTCGAGATCATTTGTGCCAAGGAAAACTAGGAAATGCTGGGAGCACAGCAGTTGGCGCGCTGATTGCGCACAAGGAGGACGGTACTTTCTCGGCCAAGTTGGTGAATTGCGGTGATTCCAGGTGCGTGGTAGTGCGCGCCCCGGAGGAAGAGGAACAGAATGCTGCTCCGATACAAGTGAAGTTGCCAGATTCATTGAAGTCATTTTGTGAAGCGCCAGATGTAGACTGGTCCCAGGATGCCTCATGGTTACCTGAGTGGCCAGCAGTTGTGGAGACAATCGATCACAAACCAAGTCTATGTTTTGAACGTGCAAGGATTGAAGCAGCAGGAGGAACAGTTCGTGGCGGGCGGACAGCGCGGCTTGATGGCAGTCTTGCGGTGAGTCGCAGTCTTGGTGACTTTGATTTCAAGAGTGTCAACCGACCTGTGGCTGAGCAAAAGGTCTCATGCTTACCAGACATCTATGAAGTATCCGGACTACCAGAAGGAAGTGTTCTTCTGCTGGCGTGCGACGGCCTTTGGGACGCCATGTCAACAGAGGAAGCGGCACAATTCGTTCGTCAGAGGCTCCAGCACAATCCACCAATGGAGCTGGCTGACATTGCACAAGAACTTGTTGACTTCAGCTTGGACGCAGAGACTCGGGACAATGTCACCGTGCTGCTGGCACAGCTGGGTCTTGACGGTCAAGGTCAGGAAGTGAGCGAGGCTGAGGCGGACTAATTCGCTGCCGGAAGTGGCACCTAATCCTTATTGCAATTCTTCCAGTTTCAACTTACAGATTCGCACAGAAATTGGACAGAAATCAAGTGTGTGAAGTTGCGCAGTTGCCCAAGTGCAGGACCGATATGGACCACTGCTCTAACTACACACTTTGTGAGTCAAAACGCTATAATTAATTAAAAAGCTTCTGCAAATATAAGATATATAAGCAATACGTGGCCATCAATGAAATCTATCCATTTAATATTATTGCATGCTGCATTTGTTGACGACGGCATGGCAGGATGGCTGCGAATTTGGTGTCTGAGTCTGAGAGCGAACGTGACAGACGCGGACGGGGCACGAGTACATCTCTAATGAAAAGACCTGGTTGGCGCTTTGGAACTGGGGACATGGGCTCCAAGTGACCTACAGATCACAGGTTTCCATCCCCTCCCCACGAATTGAATAGCAGAAACAGATTGTCATCAGCGGCTTTGCAAATCCTATGTTGAGTTTTGTTGTCTTGTTTTGATTTACCTCCAAAGTACAGCGCTCACAAAGGTAACTTCAAGAATGAGAAACTCAAAGAAACAGCTGTCCGTATTGAACTCAGTCCACTGCCACATGTGCGCTCGCAATCTGAAACTTCTATTCTGGAATCATGAGCCTTCAGCTCTTCCATGCTTTTCTCCATTGTTTCCCCATCTTTTCATATCTTTTCCTGTTTCAAAGGCCGAATGAACTTTGCATCCGTCGCTTCCCAGCTGCGTCCCTCGGTGGCACAGCACCGAAGAACTCGAACGACCTTCACAGCCATGGCATGGCCGCCAGGCGAGGCCCAAGATGGACCAGGTGTCCAGCACTCAGTCCTGTCAACCTTGGATTGGACCACTGGTTGCTTGGGGATTGATGGGGATTAATTAATGGGGATTCATGTTACATCTTTATATATATATATTATATTTGTACGTATAGCAATGATAAACTTTTGGAACAGTTTATTTTGTTGTCGTCATACAATTATACAGTGGTCCGTGGTCATGCTACTTAGTTGCTAGCGACGAGGATATGCCCTGCCACGTGCGTTTCCGGCACTCAGGGCCTTACCACAGCTGGTCTGGCACTGCAGGCCAAGGGTATCAGAATTCCTCTGTAGGCCCTTGGACTGTGGGTGTGGCAATTCTACTCAGACGATGAGAGACTGAGACATTCTGTGATGTGTTGACAAATCCTCGCTGCCTCCTCTGTGTAAGCGTGGGTTCTGTTTTTTTTTTGGCTCAGCTGCCCGCCTGCATGAAGATCGGAGACCTTGGCATGCACACAGTCCGGCCGAAGACGACGAAGATCAGTGATGCCCCATGGTGGCTGCCTCCACCCAGAGCCCGTCCAAAATGTGCGTCCAGGCGCACAGTCACTGTGGTTCCGTTTTCCGGAGTGCAGTGGCTGAGACGCAAGGACACCGCCCGAGCTATGAAGATGCATATGCCATCACTTCAGAAGAAAAGACAGTCTACTTTTGGATCTTTGATGGGCATCGCGGTGACTGTGCCAGCCGCTTTGCTGCAGAACTCTTCGGATCTCCTGAATTCAGCCCGACCAAAGACAAGCTTCCATCCAACCGCCGCATTCGCCGAGCCTTTCAAACCGTTGACAACCGGCTTCGAGATCATTTGTGCCAAGGAAAACTAGGAAATGCTGGGAGCACAGCAGTTGGCGCGCTGATTGCGCACAAGGAGGACGGTACTTTCTCGGCCAAGTTGGTGAATTGCGGTGATTCCAGGTGCGTGGTAGTGCGCGCCCCGGAGGAAGAGGAACAGAATGCTGCTCCGATACAAGTGAAGTTGCCAGATTCATTGAAGTCATTTTGTGAAGCGCCAGATGTAGACTGGTCCCAGGATGCCTCATGGTTACCTGAGTGGCCAGCAGTTGTGGAGACAATCGATCACAAACCAAGTCTATGTTTTGAACGTGCAAGGATTGAAGCAGCAGGAGGAACAGTTCGTGGCGGGCGGACAGCGCGGCTTGATGGCAGTCTTGCGGTGAGTCGCAGTCTTGGTGACTTTGATTTCAAGAGTGTCAACCGACCTGTGGCTGAGCAAAAGGTCTCATGCTTACCAGACATCTATGAAGTATCCGGACTACCAGAAGGAAGTGTTCTTCTGCTGGCGTGCGACGGCCTTTGGGACGCCATGTCAACAGAGGAAGCGGCACAATTCGTTCGTCAGAGGCTCCAGAACAATCCACCAATGGAGCTGGCTGACATTGCACAAGAACTTGTTGACTTCAGCTTGGACGCAGAGACCCGGGACAATGTCACCGTGCTGCTGGCACAGCTGGGTCTTGACGGTCAAGGTCAGGAAGTGAGCGAGGCTGAGGCGGAGTAGGGCTTACAGTATCTTGCAGTCAATCAGTCACTGCTTCACTCGGTCACCTTCACATGCCTGATGAAAAAGATAGACCTGGCGTGTTTGTGACAAGTTTTGGAGCGTTGGCTCCTGTACCTCCTGTATCTCTGAACACGTGACACATGTGACATAAGTGATCACAACTGCAAGAATTTCTGTGACGATGCTTTGCTTCTTTCTTTACGGCAGGCTGGCGCCCAGAGAGCGTATGACACCCAGGATGAAAGTGGGGGACCATGTGGGCCATTTATCCTTTGTCCATAGCATCTGCTATTCCATTTGCTACAGAATCAGGTCAAGCATAGTCACGCATTCTCACCAGCCAGTAGATGGATTTGTCTTAAAATGGGATGCCCCAAAATTTGATGGTTATATAATCAGAATATAATCAGAATATCTATTTTCCCATTATATATTGCTATGAATATCTATGAATGATGGGGGTATACCATGGTATACCAATTTTCAGACAGACCCAGATGAAGGAAAGTTGAACATGTAGAAACTCATCTCAAAAAAGGGTGGAAGACACGCATGCCCAAAGAGGCTGATTTGAACCCTGGTTTTCGATGGCGCCAACAAAGCACAGCTTATAATGATCTGTACAGTAGGTTACAATATAATGATAACATTTAGTAGCCAATGGAATGGCCATTTGCTCAATTTTTTTCTCACACAGAATAGTTTCAGTGAACTCTTCCCATTTGCATCTTGGTTTGGAAGGAGCAAGAAACTAGCCATACAAACCACAAAAAAAGAGACAAACTCAGCAGGTTTCCGACGCGAAGCGGACCCATGGCGACCCCAAAGGATCCGAAGCCTGTACCCTCCAGTTCCAAAGCTGACAGTCACTTGGGCAGCGATTCCCCTTATGGTCCTGCCGACCTTGGACATTTTGTTGATAAGTTAATATTCTACGTAGTTATATCACAAATCACGATCAAGTTATGTCACATGATCCTTTGGTCAAATCATGATCAAATTCTATCGCAAATTCTTTTGGTCATCATAAATCATGATCAACTTATCACGGGAAAAGGTATGAAAAAGCATGAAAAAGTACGAGAGATGCAGCGATGAGATCTGTCACCAAGGACCAGCTGTCAAAAGGCTGCCGAGGCCCAAGAAGCCCGTCAAAGATGAGGCAAAGGAGCGCAATTGAAAACATCCTCAGCCATCTATAGGGGGATCTAATGGGGAGATAATGGGGAGATTTTTGGGGATATAGGATTTAGTAGGACTTAGTTTCCTGATTTTTGAGCAATCTTGAAACTTCAGTATGAGCTCGCCCTTGACTTCTTGGTCGCAGCCTCTGCGAGGACAGGCCAGCACCAAAGAAGATGCCAAGGAATGCAAAGGAAGAGCCACCGGAGGCTTCAATCTTCGATGTGAAGAGCGAGTCAGGAGACTCCAACATCTCAGAGATGCTGGAGCATGAAAATGGGAGTGGCTTGGTGGCTGTGATGACTGTGGCGTTGAAAACCGTCTTAGGAATTGGACGAAATCAGCTAAAGCAAAGTGAATTTTGTTGACATCCTGAATCCCTTTCTGAGGTGCTCCAGCCCCGGGAGTTTCGCTCTCTCCGAGAACAGTTGCCCAGGATGTGCATGTTGACATGATATCACAAACTTTGCAGCGACCATTTCAGGCTCCAAGCCATTTATTTAGATGCACTGGTCGTAGGTTTGTCTCAAAGTACCCTAACATCCCACTGGTTTATCTATCGGAAAGGACTGTTGTGAGCGGCAGAATCCACGAGTTTTGGGGAAGAATAGTTTCATCAGAATACTTTCCTACTACTTGCCCTCACAAGAGTCGTTTCTGACACATGTCATGGCGCCACGTAATTACACTACATCAGTCATCTGCCTACATCTGCCCTACGTCTGTCCAATTACACACATCTGTTTCCAACATCTGCCTTCACTTCTCTGCATTGACTGCACAGATCTAGAACAAAAAAAACAAACAAACAACAATGTTTCCACAACTACTCTGACCTCTAGACTAGTTGCAAAAAAATGTTTTTTTTTTTTGTATTTTTTGCTTCTAGATTAATCATGATTAATCTGGATTAATCCTGATTAATCACTGGCATAACATCATACATCACAACCCTGGCTTTTCGCTTGACTCCGGCTCTTAGTTCGGGCCTGCTTGTCTGCTTCTGCGTCTGTGTCTGGTCTTGCCCTGTCATGTTTGTTCGGTTTTCTCGATGAATTAATCTGGATTCATGACTCCGGCGAGTTCCGGCCTTCTTGTCTCCAAATTTGGAAAATCAGATGCTCGGAGACTTGGGCATGGGTTGAGGGCAATTTTGTAGTTCATCTATTTCCACCTAGTTTTCTGCAGATCAAAAACAATGCCGCAACAATTGAAACAACATAAAGCAGACAAAGTGCACTTAGGACATGGGTTCGGCATTTTTTTACATACAATCTTCCAATATCTGTGATACCAAGTTTTATTTTTCAAACAAGGTGATATTCCTTACATAAAGTGTGGTCTGACTTTGTGCATTCCCTTTGAAAGCTTGTATATAATATCTTTGAAAAGAGCGCAATAATGATCTGAAATAGACCTTCAATGCGTACCCAATTTCAAAAAAATATGGCGCCTTCTGCTAACAAATTCCAAGACCATTTCAAATTAAGGTCCGCTTATATATATATATAAATGCACACACACACATTATATATATACACCATGGTGTTCTTTTGTGATCATGGCATTCTTTGAAGTGAATGCTTATAATATGTATAACTATCTGGAATGTGTTCCTTCAAGAAAGTGCATCATCTCTTTGAAAAGGGTGCAAGATTTCCTCAGACACCAAGACATAATTCCAAATTTCAAGATGGAATTCTTTTGTGGTTATAGTGTTCCTTTTATCAAAAGAGTATGATATTCCTTGAAAAAATGTGGAAAGTATTGTTTTCGTTTAAAAGCTATCAGCTCCTTGAGGGAGATGCAATATTCTCTTAAGACAATGGACATTTATTCCAACGTGTAATCATTTTATACATGCAGCACTCTTTCTGAATAATATGGTTGTCCCTTGGTGCATAAATGATGGAATCACTTGATTAAGAAGAGTGCACAACTCTTTCATATTGAATGCAGAAACTAGTTTCTTTAGAGAAAGACCTGGTTCTTAAGGAACAACACACGAAGACTGAACCTTTTCAACATGAATACTACACGTGTGAAGACAATTATTTTCACTTTTGCAGGAACATGGCTTCTTGAAAAGGATACTATATTGTCTTATTGTGGGGTACTTGCCATGTGTAGGCAACATAGTCATTTGACGTGATGTTCAAGGACTATAGTGTATGCATTGGGTATTGCACTTTTGACATGAATTCTGCATATTAAAGGGATGGCTGTAAATCGAAAAGCACGCTACATATGGCACAGGAATATTGCCTACTTGAAGGGATATCATGTGGAAGAAGATTTCGCTTTTTCAGAAACTAATGCTGCATCTTTTAGATTTTAGAGGATTCCTTCATAATTGTAGGGGTATTGCTTGTTGAAAAAACATTGTACTTTTTCAAAGGAAACATGCAACTTATTGAAGAATGCTTCTTTATAAGCTGGGGATACTTCATTGTTTAGAACAGGAATGCACTATCTTAAATTCATGCTACATATTATAGAAACATGTTTACCCCTAAATGGAAGGCTGTACATCTTTAGGGACGCCCTGCATTTTTTAGGAAAAATGTTTTATTTTGAAAGGGATACTGGAAGGGTTCATGAAACTATTTCAAGGATATTATATAAGATGCACATATGTTTCAATATGCGTATTCCTGAATTGTGTGTATTTACATTTATGATTTATGATCATTTATGGCTCTTTGACTCTGATTACTTAATTGCATTCAATAAGAACAACCTATTTCACAAGGAGACTCTTAAAATCTCTTAAACAAGAAATATAATATGAATTTAATAAGATTTTGCATGGGAATTGCATGGAACTAGATGTCCAATAATTTCTGAAAAAATCATGCCTTTCTTGATTTATGGCAATTTTGAGCACATAGTTGGGTGACAGACACAAGTATGTGCTTAAAGTGCAACCTGTTCATATCTGGATCAAAAGGATTTGCAAAAAAGAATTCCATTCATTTAAGCAAATTTTCTGCCGCTCACAACAGTCCCCTCACAAACTTTGCAGCGACCATTTCAGGCTCCAAGCCATTTATTTAGATGCACTGGTCGTAGGTTTGTCTCAAAGTACCCTAACATCCCACTGGTTTATCTATATGAAGCTGGTGATCTATCCGCAATTTATCCCAAACATGACGATCGTGATTTTGGATAATTTTTCCAGGTGTTTCCAATGAAACAATAGAGTACAGCACCCCTAACTCCACTGGTTAGTCATCATCGTCCCTATTAAAACTTTCATTTGTTTTGGGGTGGTATACCACTATTTTCAGACACATAGTTTTGTTTGGTGGTTGGTGATATAATATGATATCATATTATATTAGATCCTTTATTAAGTTCTTCTTATATATATAATATAATATATGAGTGACGATCAAAACCCCCGCAGAGGAGTTTTATACAAACGTATGAATGGAGTATGTTGTTGTAAATTTGTAGTGCGTTTTGCCTGGGAGGCGCAAGAAAGCGCAAGGGCGGGCGCAAGATATATTAATATCGTTGTTCTTTTCTGTATCAGTGAACATCTGCTGCTGTAGCAGCTCAGAGCTGGTAGGCAGGACAGACGGAACCATACCTACCAAAACGGAATCAAATTCCAAGAGGTATGGTAGAAGCATAGTGTATACACAATTATACACTTATAAAATTTGATTCCCAAAACGGCCCTTTCGAGCCGAAAAGCAGCTTTACGGGAATCAAATTTCAAGAGGTATGTTAGAAGAAGAGTGTAAACACATAGAAGGTTTGATTCCCAAAACGGCCATTTCGAGCCAAAAAGCAGCTTTACGGGAATCAAATTTCCAGAGGTATGGTAGAAGGAGAATGTATACACATAGTTGTTTTTTTGCCTTTGCAATGCCTGTTTTGAACCCAAGTCTGGCGCAAGGTAAGCGCAAGTTTCTCTTTAGGTTGTTTTGCCAAGTTGGACAGGCATCGCTACAAGGCTCCGGCAAAAACATTTTAACAGCTCCATAGCTTTCGGTATCTTTTTGAACTTTGATTCCCGTAAAGCTTCTTTCTGGCTCAAGAGAGCCGTTTCGGGAATCAAACTTTCTCTGTGTATACACTCTCCTTCTAACTCTTGAAATTTGATTCCCGTAAAGCTGCTTTCTGGCTCGAAATGGCCGTTTTGGGAATCAAAATTTCTATGTGTATACACTATCCTTCAACCATACCTCTTGAAATTTGATTCCCGTAAAGCTGCTTTCTGGCTCGAAAGGGCCGTTTTGGGAATCAAATTTCCTATGTGTATACATTCTCCTTCTACCATACCTTTTGAAATTTGATTCCCGTAAAGCTTCTTTCTGGCTCAAAAGGGCCGTTTTGGGAATCAAATTCCTATGTGTATATATTCTCCTTCTACCATACCTCTTGAAATTTGATTCCCGTAAAGCTTCTTTCTGGCTCAAAAGGGCCGTTTTGGGAATCAAATTTCCTATGTGTATACACTCTCCTTCTACCATACCTCTTGAAATTTGATTCCCGTAAAGCTGCTTTCTGGCTCGAAATGGCCGTTTTGGGAATCAAATTTCCTGTGTATATATTTGCCTTCTACAATACCTCTTGAAATTTGATTCCCGTAAAGCTGCTTTCTGGCTCGAAATGGCCGTTTTGGGAATCAAATTTCCTATGTGTATATATTTGCCTTCCACAATGCCTCTTGAAATTTGATTCCCGTAAAGCTGCTTTCTGGCTCGAAATGGCCGTTTTGGGAATCAAATTTCCTATGCGTATACATTCTCCTTCTACCATACCTCTTGAAATTTGATTCCCGTAAAGCTGCTTTCTGGCTCGAAATGGCCGTTTTGGGAATCAAATTTCCTATGTGTATACATTCTCCTTCTCTTGAAATTTGATTCCCGTAAAGCTTCTTTCTGGCTCAAAAGGGCCGTTTTGGGAATCAAATTTCCTATGTGTATACACTCTCCTTCTACCATACCTCTTGAAATTTGATTCCCGTAAAGCTTCTTTCTGGCTCAAAAGGGCCGTTTTGGGAATCAAAATTTCTATGTGTATACACTATCCTTCAACCATACCTCTTGAAATTTGATTCCCGTAAAGCTGCTTTCTGGCTCAAAAGGGCCGTTTTGGGAATCAAATTTCCTATGTGTATACACTCTCCTTCTACCATACCTCTTGAAATTTGATTCCGTAAAGCTGCTTTCTGGCTCGAAATGGCCGTTTTGGGAATCAACATTTCTATGTGTATACACTATCCTTCAACCATACCTCTTGAAATTTGATTCCCGTAAAGCTGCTTTCTGGCTCGAAAGGGCCGTTTTGGGAATCAAATTCCTATGTGTATACATTCTCCTTCTACCATACCTCTTGAAATTTGATTCCCGTAAAGCTTCTTTCTGGCTCAAAAGGGCCGTTTTGGGAATCAAATTTCCTATGTGTATACATTCTCCTTCTACCATACCTCTTGAAATTTGATTCCCGTAAAGCTGCTTTCTGGCTCGAAATGGCCGTTTTGGGAATCAAATTTCCTCTGTGTATACACTCTCCTTCTACCATACCTCTTGAAATTTGATTCCCGTAAAGCTGCTTTCTGGCTCGAAATGGCCGTTTTGGGAATCAAATTTCCTCTGTGTATACATTCTCCTTCTACCATACCTCTTGAAATTTGATTCCCGTAAA